AAAGACCTAAAGAATATGGCATTTTAAAAATGTTTTAACAACATAAAACTTTTCTTGACAGTGGGACATAATTGCTCCTGACAGTACCAATTAACTACAAAAAAACATGATGTGTATTGAAGAACCTCCAATTGGAGTTTGCTTTTTCTGGCGAAAGTTAGCCATTTGGGCAGGAAACTGCCCTTGACTCAACTACTGAAAGTATGCTATCCAAACTAGACCAGCAGGACACAAAAAAAGCAAATGCTGAACTTTGCCAAGACAGGGTAGGACAGTCCTTCAAAAATTTCCTGCTTTACAGAAAAGTTTGTCAGTTATTCTAAGCATGTAGGCCAAAGATGGATGTCCCAATGTTACAGTGGATATTTGGGGGACTGTCCAGGCAGCCAGCTGTTTTTATCATTGCTTATAGTTTTGAAAGTTGCTTGCTCTGTACTTCCTGTTTACTCGGGTAATATTATATTCTTTTGATGGGGTTAAAAACTAGATAGTTAAAGAGTTTTCCTTAGTCATGATAGGAAGTAATTTAGGTATAAAACTCGGAACTCATCAAAAGATGATAATTAGTGGAGTATTTTCTCTGTATTTACAGAATACAAATGGACTAGACATTATGAATGTAATTCTTACTTGATAATTATTCTTGTTGTATATAGTTTCATTTTTAAAAGATAATCTTTCCTTTCTGTTTAGAGAATACCTGATAATTGTTCTTATTGTATATAGTTTTACTATGATAGAGTTAAAACTCTTCCTTGTTATTTAGACAAAAATGGGGAAATGTTGGAGAATATTTGTTCATGCTGATTGTTCTGGGACCACCATGGAACTGATCTTGGTTCAATGGGCAAAGTCCACAGTCAGCTGTCTGGAATGGGACATCAAGTTCTCTGGCTGATTAAGAGGAGAAAGAGAGGCACGCAGGAAAGGAAGAGGTAGGGTCAAGGGGTTGCATGCTCTCTTGGATCCTGAAATAGAGAGGCAGGATTATGTTTCTGTAAATTTCTCAGGATTATTCCTTAATATTTATCCTCAAGATTTTTTTAATAAATACTAAAATTATCCAATATACATAACATATGCAACAAGAATTAATGAAAAATGAGAGTTCATGAATTTGAAATAGAGCAAGGAGAGGTATATTGGAGAATTTAGAGGGATGGAAGTGATGGGGGAAATGATGTAATCATATTATAATCTCAAAAAAGTAAAAGAATTTTTAATAGTGCCAGTGACTTCCAGGTACTTTATTATATAGCATAACTTTATTTACAGATGTGTTGTGGAGTGAATTTATTAATTCTTCCACAGAGGTGCATTGTAGGACCACACAAAATCATCTTTGTTCAGATCTTATGTTGAAGATATTTTAAATCCAGTTGAATACATGACAGATAATTTTCAATTTGACACATGTGAAGACACCTGTGTCAATGAATTTTGTGGACTACCACTCTTTAACAAGAAAAATATTATTTTATTAACTACAGTTTTAATATAATTGATGTACATAGGTAACTCATGAGGTATTCAACTTAATATATAAAACAAACATAACAAATTTTTGTACCTACAGAAATAAAATGGGAAGTTTAACAAATAACTTCTTGGGCATGTCAAACTACAGCATAATAAATCATAGATCCTTATTTTATTCACCCGTAAATTAATGGATGCATTTATATCTCATTACTTGCTTTCTCAAGACTGTTTAAAGCAGTATTATTCAAGGAACTATACCAAGCAAACCATTATTCTACTTGAGGTGATTGCTTATTTATTCTCCATCTAATTGTGAGAAACAAGAAAAAGTAGGAAAAAGCAATCAGTTACTTGTGAAACTCTGTAATTTTGGAGATCCAAGAGATTTCAGTGAAATAAATAATTGTCTGTAAGAAGAAAAACTTGCAAACAACAATAAAAACAAAGATAGTCTATACAAAAAAGTAGCAGCTTAATAGAAATTAAGATATTGGTGAAGAATAATTATTACAATTTTTTTCATGTTTAACATGAATGAATATGTTCAATAATACAACACTTAAAAACTGGTGCCATTTAGAAGTCACTCACTGCACTGTCATTCCAACATGTGTTTATTGTTTATCATTAAACATGTTTCATGCTCTTGTTTTTCAATGTACAGCTGTATGCACACAAGCTTTAAGAATATTTTAATATATTTAACATTTATTATTTGATGCAAATTTAATTTTAATTATATTAAATTTAGTGCTACATAAGGGAAACACTGTCATGTAACAATTATATAAGTTTCTATCCAATTATTTTAGAACTAGACTGTATGGTCCCATTCCCCAAGGGATGTCCAAATCCCAATCCCTGGAATATTCTCATATGCTACATTGTGTGGGGAAAAAAAATGAGTGTTTCAGATGTAACTAAGATTAAAGTTTTGAAATATCCCTTTATTAAAATGTATTGAAAGTCAAGCCAGGCGGTAGTGGTACACACCTTTAATCCCAGCACTCAGGAGGCAGAGCCAGGTGGATCTTTATGAGTTCAAGGCCAGCCTGGTCTACAGAGAAAGATCCAGGACAGACAACAAAACTTCACAGAGAAACCCTGTCTTGAAAAAATAACAACAACAACAACAAAAAAAAAACAAACAAAAAAACATTGTATTGAAAGTCATAATGTGAACCTCCAAAAGCCACAGAAATTTCTTGTACCTAAGGCCAATGATATTCAGAGCAGAATTCAAGAATTAGATCGATTTCAGTCTTGAGAGTGAACAAATTTTGCTGGTTTTCGATTCAGGGACAGCACAGATGTCCAGAAGGCACTTGAAAAAACTTTCCTCACTCTGTGGGCACCAATAAGTGAATTTAAGCAACAACCTTAAGGATGGAACAACTCATATCAGTTCCATCCTTAAGGTTTAAACCTCATCTGCTCAGTCAAAGAAGAAATGAATTATCTTCTTTTCTTATTCATTCATTGTTCTTAAGGTCACTTACAGTAGTTTTTTTTTTTCTTTTTTCATTACAGATAATTCCACTTGTCTTTGTTTTTAAGAGCTAAAAGTTCTATATTAAATATTTGATATTGTTAGGATGAGGGATTTAGAAGAGGAGTCTATTTTGTAAGATATAAGGGTGTTAGTGTAAGTTACTAAAAGGAATTGTTTAGGAAATGTCATGGAAAGCCATACAACACAGACAGATCAGGCAGAACTATGGAAACTGGAATCCTTCTGATGCTTGAATAGGAAGAAGCACAAACACAGAAGGGCCTAAGTGTACATGTCAAGGTCCTTGAATTGGCTGCATCATTCTCTGATTTTGAGGACACAGGGAGTATACAAATGAGTTTTATATAGTGAAGTCATGAAGAAAATGTATGTTATCCCCAAAACATTAAATTGACTCCAAGTGATAAAGTTCCTGGGATGTTAAAGAACTTTCGCTTCTTCCATAATTTTCTCTAAGAATGTATCCACAAACCAAGCAAGAAGGTTTCAAGTGGTCTTGCTCTTTGTATCAAATATCAGTACTGCCTCCAAAGCTCACCTCCCCTGGAGATAACAGGACCTTTTCTTGTGTTGATTAGTCAGTTGGAACTTGAACAAATGCAGTCAACTGCATCTCATCTTGGTCCTTGGCCTGAGAGCAGGAACCACCCAAAGCAGCACTGCAGAGTACCATCTAGAATGAGAATTGATACTTCCTTCAGAATTCTTGAAATTCCATCATTAAAAGAACATATTTGTATTAGTTTTTATATTGTATCTGATGCCCAATGAATTATTGTAGTTCACAGGCCTGGACATACTTTATCTCTCATCCAAACCTGTGTGCTCGGCCTTTCATAATTAAACATTTTTCTGACTCTACTGTTTTTCTGCCTTCAGAATTTCTGTTACTCGGTGCTGCCTGTTTCTTCTGCATTGCAGAATGCACATAAATGTTATAATACTTTCTAATCACTCTTATATACTACCTCTTTTTTTTCAAGTCTCTATCATTCCCCCAACCTTGTCCCAACCTATCCCTTTCTCAGATTCATGACGTTTTGGTTGGCTTTGAACTACCTGGTTAGTTGTGAACTATTCAGTGTAATAAGGGAATAATGGTATTATGTTCCCTCCTGGGGCCTCTAACCTCCCCCACTACGGATAATTTTTAATAGGTTTATAGTACAAGGCATGAATTCTCTTGTGAAGCTGGCTTCACACACAATCCGAGAATGTTTGGTTAGCCTATAATTTTTGTGCCACAACTTCACGAGTTACCATATCATTCCTGGAAGTTTGGCATTTTACTTTATAAGAGTCATGGCTGGCTAAGAACCTTAGGGGTTTTTCTCGCCCAGAAGCCCTCACTGCACCTTCAAGACTATGCAAGCTATTTGTTAGGGGGAATGCTTAGAGCTCAGCTCATTTATTTTTTTTTTTTCAGCATGGTGATGTATTATCTAGCTCTGCTGAATAACCGAGGGGAATAATAAGCACCCATTTTGTTTGGGGGCCTTGTGGAGCCTCTGTCATCAACAACACACATAAAGGTATCGTATTCCTGACACTGGCATTTTTCTGCCACATTCTTTTTGCTCTTGGTCCGCACCTACTGTAGTTTTTAATTTTGTATACCTGGTGTTTTAAATTTTATATTTTTGTTCTTTCATGAACTCTAGATTCATCTTCCACTTGTTCCACTTCTCTAGAATCATTCTGAAAATATCACTTGTGGTGGTTAGATTTGGTTAAATTTACACAAACTAGAAACACCTGAGAAGAGGAAATCTCAACTGAGGAATTGCCACTATCAGATTGGCCCATGAGCAGGTCTATGGGAGTGGATTTTCATGGTTAATGGGTGATGTCGGATGGCCCAGCACACTGAGAGTGATAGATACCAGCCCTGGGCATGTGATCTGTACTGTATAAAAAGGCAAGCTGAGCAAGCCACTTGGAATAAGCCAAAAAACAGAGTTCTTTCATGGCCTCTTCTAATGTTTCTGCCTCCAGTTTCCTGAGCTGATCTCCTTCCCTGGCTTTCTTTGTTGATGGACTGTGACATGGAAGTCTATGATAAACAAACTCCTTTTTCTTCAAGCTTTTTTTGGTCAGTGTTTTATCAGAGAAATTGGTACCAGGAGTGGCTTTTTCCCCCCCTGAGGGCACTCTTCCCTTTGTTCCAGTACTGAGTAAAAGACTCCTCCTTAACTGTGCTAACCTCCTTAACAATTACATCTTCCCTTTTAGCTCATGCCTTGGATTCAACATTGAGGTTGCTAATGTTCCTTTTCTCTACATACTGTACATTTGTATTTCTTTTTGTCCCACTTCCCTTTGCACTATAGATCTGTATAATCAGTATCAGTAGTAAATTACATAGATTCAATATTATGCTGTCTTGAAATGTCTTCCACAAAAAAGGAGAAAAGGCATCCATTAATTTTCAATACAGCCTTTGATACATTTTTAGGAAAGATAGAAAGCAGCCAGATGCTTTGACAAAATATCACACAAATGGCCTCTAGTACAGGTGCTAATGAAACATTTTGAGCTGAGCCTCCATAATCTATATTGCTCATAGAATTACTCTCACTCACACTCGAATGCCACAGTAAACTCTGCTTAAAACATTCAACAACATTCAATCACTTTTCCAGTCCCAAGTTTCAAACCCCTTGTTATTTCTCAAAAAAAAAAAAAATAATAATTGACATGGTTAGTATTCTTTCTTTCTTTCTTTCTTTCTTTCTTTCTTTCTTTCTTTCTTTCTTTCTTTCTTTCTTTCTTTCTTTCTTTCATTTTTGTAGCTACAGTTCATACTCTCATACCAATTTCTATATGAATTATTTTTCTTTTTCTGAAATAAATGCCCATGATGAAGACAACTTGAAGGTGAGTATATTTTGCCCTATAAGTCCAGAAGAATGAATCTACCATAACATGAAAGCATGGCAGCCAAGGGCAGGCTGCTGTGGAATAATGCTCTTGTACACTGTAACGATTTGTCACTTGAATTGGTTTAATAAACCGCTGATTGGCCAGTAGCTGGGCAGAAAGTTAGATAGGAAAGCCAAACTGAGAATGATGGGAAGAAGAAGGGCAGAGTCTGAGAGTCACCAGCCAGAGGTAGAGGAAGCAAGATGAGAATGCCATACTGAGAAAAGGTATCAAGCCACGTGACTAAACATGATAGGAATTATGGGTTGGTGGGCAGTGGTAGTGCATGCTTTTAATCCCAGCAGAGCCAGGTGGATCTCTGTGAATTGGAGGCCAGCCTGGGCTACCAAGTGAGTTCCAGGAAAGGCGCAAAGCTACACAGAGAATCCCTGTCTCAAAAGAAAAAAAATTATGGGTTAACTTAAGTGAAAGAGCTAGTTAGTAATAAGCTTGAGCTATTGGCAAGCATTTATAAGTAATATTAAGCCTCTGGGTGGGTATTCAGGAACTGGCGGGGGGGCAGAACCATCTGTTTTTAGCAGGCATCATGTGCTTAGCTGAGAAATCATATCTTTGTCCACAAGCACAAAGCAGAGAGAGGTAACTAGCAGTTCAAACTCCACTCCCAATGACATACTTTCTCCAATGTGACTGTGCTACCTCATCACAAAACATCACCGAACCAAGTGTTCAAATGCCCAAGCCAACTGGGGAAGTTTCTCAATAAAATCATCACACTGGCTTTAATTTTCATAAAGATTTACTTCTATTGCCGTCTTAATTCTGCCTCATGAGAGAATATGTTTTAATTTCTCAATCCTGACCTTCATAACACATTTTCTGCAATGATCCATGCAACTTTTCATCTTTCGAGAGCAAGTTAGCACACTTCAGATTTTGATCTGATTTAAACAAAAACAAGGACACAGGCTGCCAGGTTCATAGAACTACCAGGAAAATAGGTACCCACTCTTTTACTGAAACACCCGCCCCTTTCTTTTTATTTTTATAACTTGAAATTAATATCTAGTTTTCTCCAGCTTCTCTCCCTCCTATTCCCAGGGAAAGGTTAATAATGATTAAAGACTTGATAACTCTGCCTCTATCTATACTCTTTATACCTATGAGTTTAAATCACTGTTAGCTCTTCAAATATGTCACTGATGTTCTTATCATAGTAATGGCCAATTTTCTTTGCCTTTGTTTTACTAGCAAGATGTGAGATGAGAAAAAATAAAAAAAGAAAGAAAGCATAACTACATTGTCACCTATTCAGTTTGAAATGAGGGGAAGGACTTAGAAGTTGATTGATGTTACATAATATTTTCTCTATGTATAGATGGTTTCCTTTTCTTAAATTAAAACAAGTTAATTACATTTTATGTGCATTGGAGTTTCATTTGAGTGTATGTTTGTGCACCATGTGTATGCATGTATTGGCACAGGAAGCCAGAAAAGGACATTTGATCCCCTGGAACTGGAGTTATAGAAAGTTCTGAGCCACCATATAGGTTCTGAGATATAAACACAGGTCCTCTGGAAGAGAAGCCAATGTTCTTAAAATGTAAGCTTCTTTCTAGCCACTTTCTAGAAGGATAATTTCTTAAATTATCCTTCTTACCTTAACTCAATTGTGAATTATTATTCAAAAACTCAAAGTGCTTCATAATACACTGATCAGGATTTTGTGTGTTAAAATGACTTCCATTCATTTATTTTATTCTGAACAATCTGGTAAATAATTTTAATGATTAGGCACATTGTGATAATGCTTTAAGTGTGTTTTCATATGCAAAAACCCCACAAAATGTATACATTAAATTTTCACATCTTCTGTTGATTCTTGGACAAACCCCTGACTCAAGAATCTAGTTTAAAATGTTAGTATAGGGCTGATCTACATTTCTTCAAATGTTGAAACACAAAATAAACTTCTAAAATTTCACAATTGATTATACCCTTTTCTGTTCACTTTAGCTAGCAGGCACTTCATCACGAACTAAATAGAATTATACTGTCCTTCTTTCTCCCATGTGAGGAAAAAAGATCCCTGTCTCTCAATGGACATGCTGCTATAGCTAGTACACCTGAGTACTAAAGAGAAAAGCCTGTAGTAATGTTCGCATCTAATGAGTACATTAAATTGCCTATCATGAGTGTGAGTATATGTAATAAGTATATGTGATTCTTACAGTGTTTGTGAAGATAGCTGTATAATCTAAATTACAGCTCTCCACCAAATTTATTAGGGAAGGGTTCTGCAGCAGTCTGTGGATTCCTGGGGTCTTTGTCACAAAATTGTTTAATTACCACTGCCCTTATTGATATGCTTTCAAAAGATTGTTAATTCATATTTGTACCAATGCCAGAGCTGTCATAAATGTTATTTTCATTATATCTTTCATTTTTTATGGCCTTCTCTGATTCCTGTACCTCCAGGAGAGGGAAAATAGATCACCCAGACTCATCTAAATATAGTCAATATATTTCTAAATTTAATCTGTATTGTTTTGAAAAGAATTGCCAGTATAGCTTTCTTCAATATGTTTACACTTAAACACATACATCTTTTTGATTAATACTGTATTTACAGTTGTCTCATATCAAGCTTCTAAACACCATTTTGTATGACAAATAAAGATATCTCACTCATTTTTTAAATCAAATTTGGACGTAAACCCTTTAGTGCTTAATTAAAATTGAAGGTCATTCTGCTTCTATCAGCATGGGTGATTTGTAGATGGTTCATGGCCCTTTCCCTGGATACTATCAGCATTTCTCATTCAGAAAGGTATGGACAATCTTGAAGTTTCTGAGTTCAGAAGCTCAAAAAAAAAAAAATCAATTCAACCTCAGTGACTTTTAATGATGTTCTATTGCATTGATTTCTTTTATTTGACATGATTTCAAAAATATCACTCAGAGAAACCCACGGAGTAATTTTCTGAGCATGGACTTGTTTTTGAACTGGAGGAAGGCTAAATCGAGGTGCTTTATGTAAAGCAAAAATGTGCTATGTCCAGAGTTACTGACAATAGCTGCTTGACAGCACTTGGTTTGCAACTGAAATATTTCTAGCCTTTTTAAAGATGAAAAAAATACTATGCATAGCTCACTAAACGAGAATTTACATAAGGAGGCCATAATTACCCAAGTAAGACCTTGTCACAGAAACTTGGGAAGGTTAACGATTATAAAGATAATTAAAATGCAGAGGATTTGTAGAACACTTATTTGTTTTCCTAAGAGCTCAGCTACTTCTAGCATATTCCTCTCATTGATCTCTGTATGATAGCTATATAACAAGCAGGTTAAATATCTTATAATAATGGAGAGAAATGTGTGAGCCGTTAGCACCATTACTGATCATAAGCATCTGGTGCCGGCCTCACCTGAAAGGCAGGACCTCCTGTGACACAGCCTTTTGAAACATCTTTTCAGGTCACCACTGTGAAACTGACTCTGAGGAAAGAGTGCCACCTACTGAATTGTATTTCCCGGGTACCTTCCAAGGGCTGATTTCCCAGCCTCAGTCAGCACTGCCCTAATACGTTTAACTCTAAAAAATAATGAAATTGCTGCACAATGCGTGAAATCATAATATTATCTTTTCTCCCAGTGTCAACCAATTTAATGATCTAGCAGTCACATCTATAAATTAACTATTTCACTCAAAAGCTCTGCATTTTAAAACATAATATGCCAATATTAAACATCTAATTTTCCTATGCAGCAAATTTCCCAAATACCCGAATGTCTCTCAAAGTGAACACAAGGGGGAGCTAGTATGTAACTTCTTATGGGGCAGGAGTGTGGCAATTATGGAATTGATGTATCCTGTTCTTTTTGGCCGGCAAGACAGAAAAGGACATACATATGCTATTTGGAATTTGTTGAGATGAAGGTAATGTTACTTTTATGTTAATGTTAAATGTTAACGTACACAATTTAATCTAATCCTCATCTTTATATGCATTAAAATACTTAATATGGAGTAACATTTTGGGGTTGCTCCACATCAGATGCATTAATATATATTAATATACATTTTTAAGTATGGCTTAGCTTATCTACTTACACATACTTACATACACTCACACTCACCTGCACAGTCTCTCTCTCTCTCACACACACACACACGTACACGTGCACGCGCGCAAAGAAAAGAGACATTTTATATTAAATAACATTTAATCATAAATTTTAAATAGCGAATTCTCACCTTTAAATTTTAAATTAGCCTCTGCAATTCAGAATATTTGTTCTAAGACATGTTAGAGTTCCTCACTTGATCATTGATTATAAACTTATCAGTGTTTTCTTCTGACTTATACACTTCTAGTTTTATGGAAAATATACAAACGTCTGTTGTATGTCTGCTTCATTAATGGTGTGAACTGTGAGTTAATCCCTCACACACTCAGCTGATGGCTTCACTCTGTAGCTCCATTATTAATATATTGAAGTAACGAGGCCACATATATCTGAATAGGCTTTCATACTATAACATATAATAACAGAAATGGTATTTAGAAGAAATTTTAAATATAGGATTTTTACTTACCCATATTTCTTAATTGCAACATTCCATAACTTTAATAAAAAGTAGACAAACATCTTACATTTAATTTGCAATGCTATTTTGATATAAATTTCTGGGTTCTTTTATTTTAAAGGTTTCATTATTTATTTTTTATTATTATTAGTGTGCAGGGCATGTGTGTGCCTCTACCCAAATGTGGAGGTCAGAAGACAGCTTGCAGGAGTCAGTTCTAGATTTCTACCATGTGCAGAGAGAAATCTTTTAAAATATAATGCATTTCATCTAAAGTGTAAAATGTATAGTTAATTAACATTGCTTATTCTAATTCATAGTCATCACCAGGGAGAAAGATTTTGAGTAGTGTCATTTCATCATTAGTTAAAAGGCAATGCTTTGATTAAAAGTCTGCAAACAGTCAATACTAGTATAAGATGGGAGCCATACATATCTTTAAAAGATGAGAGGCACCAGTTAAAAACACAATACTTCATTCTTTTGAGAATTTATATTTGATTGGGATTTGGTTTTCTAATACCTTCTGCTATTAAATTTAGGTTGTAATGTTTCATACATTAAAAACAAACCTGTGGAATCAGATAGTGAAATGATAGAGACAGAATTATAAGAAGGATTTTTTTCATGTAAATAGTGGCTGCATAGAAAGCAGTCGCTTCGTCTTTTCATCTTAAGAGCTATATACTATCAAATTGAAGGTTATAGCAAAACAGAATGAGTTACAGGAAACTGCTACAACAGTGGTTCTGACTACAGGAATAAACTCTTGAAACTACATTTTTAACACATAATTATGCATTTTTATGCAATGTCTCTGAGCCAAAATTAAATAAATTGTACAAAATTCCATAAAGTCCTATTTTAAGATTCCCCTTTAATACTGTGAAGTCAATTATTTGAGTGGTATAGCAGCATTTGCTATTCCTTATTAGTCTGTAAAATTAACATGCAATACTTCCATTTGAAGTCAGTCCAACGCATCAATCAATTTGCCTTTACACTCAACTTACCTACACAATTTTTTTTAAATTAATCAAATGTTAAGTCCTTTGCAAGTTCTCACATAGATTCTAAATAAGCATACACGATCTTTAGATGGTCAGAACATGTTCGTTTAAAGAGAGAAGGATAAGACGTTGGCTTAGGATTCAATCTGGTTTGAAATTACAAATAGTGATTATGAACCGAGCTGTTCTTGAAAAATCTGAGATTGCTTTGCTATGTAGACATCGTTATAGTGTTCGAAACACCTTAGCATGGTGGCATTGTGACATGCACAGCCTTCCACTGCCTAATATATTTGCATCATCTCTTTTTTCCTAATGGAGCTCAATATTTCAAGAACAGTTCATCATAAATCCTTAAGTAGGTGTATTATGAACACAAAGTATACATGAGGGGAAGAAAAAGATAGGCTTTGAAAACTGTTTAAGATTTTTTTTTTTTTTTACATTAAATGTGATTATCAATCACAAAGGATGGAAAACAATCCAAACTGGAACTGAGATATCAGTCAGTCCCATTTCTGGTTTAAAAATAAAGTATAGATAATAAAGATAAAATTAGTTACTTAGGTTAGCAGTGAGTATCCAGTAATCATGTTCAACTCTAGAGGTACATGAAAAATAATAGGCTTCCTGGGTTTCTTCAGTTCTTGGCAGATGCCCTATGGCATTCACCATATGCATGTAATTCTTCCAGCAAACACTAGGGGGCAATGTGGCATAATTACTCCTGGTGGGGGGCGGTCCTCAGCAAACATGCTTCTGAGGATATTATTCTTCTCATAAAGTCCTTTCTCAGGCATTGTGTTTCTAGTCTTCCCTCAACTGCATAGATTTATGTTGAATTAAGTCTAATCAATGCTCTATAATAACCTTCCTTGGAATTTTTTATTGTTTTGTTCTTGAATTATGGCAGAATTCAAAGATATCTCATTACTATGCAATTAAAAATAACTTTGGAATGATGATTTTGAAAAGGTAATTCACAGCGTTCCTGGGGACATAGCTAAGAATTACAGCTCTTGATTAGCTTTGCAAGGCCCTGGTGTTTATCCTTAGAACTAGGCCGGGATGAGATAAAAAATAAATAACTAAATAAATAAAGATTGATAGATAAATGTCTAAATGTGTGATCACTACTCTTTTAAGCCAGTTCCTGCTTTTAAAGATTTGAAGCCTCAACTTCCAAAGTACATGTTTTCGACCAACATCATTATTAACCCCAGAGACATAAAGCTCAGACTGTACAAGGCTATGTGGTTAAAGACCACTTAACAAAACAGCCTAGATTTTGAAAAGGCTGAGCCCTCTGTTCAGTAAAAACATAGATATAATAAACCATCTATTTAGAAAAGACAAGACAGGAGCATTTTAGAATTTGAAGGTCTCATTAAAAAAAAAGCTTCTCTGAATTTTTGAGCTGTTGGTCTCCCAAGGGAGTGGTAAATTTGGAAAGAGACCAGACTGCAAAATCAGACTATAGGTTATCTCCTTGAAGCTCTGGGAAATTAATAGCTCCTCTACCTGAATCTTTAAGCAATTATCCTCAAAACAATCTCCAGAACTTTCTTGTAATTGGTCTGGATTTGATTTTCTTTGAAATCCTGAATGATTCATGTTACAGATTTGTACGTTAGTCATTCACAATTTATAAATGGCAACTTAACTTCAGTATTTATGAATTACAATCAATACTCTAGCAATCAAAACACTCACCTTCTCTACTTCAATGCATCACTTTCCTTTTTCGAGACTGCTAGATCACACGCAAACCGGTCTTGACTTGTGGACGTTTGTGATAGGAGTTTAGGCAAAAGCAAGTTTTGAGACCGTTCAGTCGTAGAAGATGAGGAATTTAGAGCCAGGGTAGTGTGTGTGTGTGTGTGTGTGTGTGTGTGTGTGTGTGTGTGTATAAAACAGGCATCTTTGAATCATTGATCTCCTACTGATGTAAATTCTTGACTAACAGTTCAGCTTTTATACACAAAATATTTTATAAATATCATCAATGACTATTTAGAAAAAAAAAACATCAGATTGCTATTTGGAAGTTTAGTAAGATGAACAGAGGTGAGCGAGACAACAGCTATTGGGTGTCAAGGGGCGTTGGAGTGCATTCAGTGTGGGCTGTGGTAGGAGATGGCTGAAGGGTAGAACCCTAATACCGTTCAGCAGATTGCAGTTTCATGAAGCTGCAAAACATCTTAAGAGAGGTTTTTTTTTTTCCTCCGAGGAGCCACTGCCTCTCTCTCCACCGGCGTCTGCTTTTCTTCTGAAACACTTTCATAATCAAGTGACTTTCCTTGCATGGGTGCCTGGGGACAGCGGGGATTTCTCTGAGGATGAGGAAAGTTACATATTGATTACTGTTGCTCCCGGCGTGTTTTCTCCCTAGCTAGCTTGCACACTACTCCGCTCTCCAACGCTGGATTTCACAGGCACTCACTGAAATAAACAACGCACTGTGCGAAAACGCGTACACACACACACACACACACACACTCCGCACCTCCTTCAGATGAGTGCACGCGGAGTCAGAAAATCTGCATCTCCCTTGGCCTCTGTGTGTGTCTGTGTGTGTCTGTGTGTGTGCGTGTGCGCGCGCGCGCGCGTGTGTAAGCTGACGACGACGTGTGTTCGAACGCGTGTGCACAGAAATGCATCAGGAAGACCGCAGCTACCTCACTCTGCAAAGTAGGCGGTGTTTCTCAAGCCTGGCTGTGTATCTGGTCCCCAAATACAATCGAGTCACTGTCAAACTTTTTTTTTCTGTCTCTGTCTCTCTCTTTCTAGAGAAAGATAGCCGAGCTGCCTCGCCCTGGAGCTGAGGACCCGGACGCCGGGTGGCTCAGGGCTGGGCGCCGCCGCCGCGGAGACTCAGCGCGGGCTCTGCTGGCCGCATAGCTCTCGCCGGGGACTCAGCTCGTCAATGACTCTCAAGCGCTGGGGCTGCTGGCCCCGCCCCCGGCCGCCGTTTCCCCACCTCCCATTGGGCGTGGGCCGAGGAGGCAGGGCCTGGCTCGCCACGCCGATTGGCTGGCAGAGAATCAGTATCAATGTTTAAGCGGCGGCGTGAGGTGAATAGAGTCAGTCAGCAAGAGACGCTGGGGAGAGAATCCGGACTGCCAGCCCCGGCGGCTGCCGCAGCGGCGGAGGGGCAGCCCGGAGACGCTACTCCAACTGTTGAATTGAATTTTCCACCTTCCATTTCCTCCGCGCCTTGGCTGGCGGAGATGGATTTACTCGGTTTGAAATCTGCACGGCTTTCTCAGGCTTTGGGGTGATTCTGACAGGCACCAGACTGAAAGAGACCACCCGTGACAGAAAAAAATAAGGAGGAATTTTTTTTAAAAAAAAAGAAAGAAAGAAAAGAAAAGAAAAAAAAAATCCTCCACAACAGACTGCACAATTAGCCATGCACACCGATGCTGGACTTTGTGAATAGAGACCACTGGGAGGAAAAATCTTGAACTGTGATCTTGGGCTAAGCTGTGAATCATTACTGGAAACGTGCTTTTCCCCCCCTAAGACTGAGAGATTTGGGGGCATCTCACGCCTAACCAAGTGGAAAGGGTTTTTTTTTTTTTTCTTTTTTAAAAATTAAATTAATACTCGTAAGCAAAGCAGACGCCTTGTTTTGCAGAGCCTCGGACTCCCGGCCGAAAGAGGTAGAGTAAAAGTGCTGCTGGGTTCAGCCTCGCCTTCCTCCCCCACTCTCTTTTTCTCGTTTTCTGCCCCCCCACCCCCACCCCTCATGAATCCAGCTTTTTTTTTTTTTTTTTGGATTATTTTTCCTATTGAGTGAGTCAGAGAAAGCGTTAGGAAGAAGCCGCAACTAATGTCTGTGAAGGGAGGACCGTGAGGGGAGAGTGAATACAATTCGTTCCGCTGCTTCTGACTCATCCGGCAGATCAGAACACCTGCATTTTCTGAATGTGTCATTGCCTGGAGAAGCAGAAATAATGTGTAGATCAACCCGCGCCTAACCTCCCCTGGGTGGTGGAGGTAGTTTCCCCGGGTGGGCGCCCTGGCAGAACCCCTGGTGGCCGCAGTTCCTCACCCTCTGCCCTCCCCAACTCGGCCAGAGACCGTGAGAGAGCCAGGCTGCAGAATGCAACACGCCAAACCTTGACGTGTTTCCATCCACCCTACTCCTGCCTGTTTAAAACAACAACAACAACAATAATAATAGTAATAACAATAAGGGGGTGAAAAGCCTGCGCTTTATTTTCTTAAAATATTCCCCACTCTTGTTCCTCGCCAAGGTTTTCCTTTTTAGATGAAAAGGACTGGGAGGCTGGGCCACTGGAAGGAGATGCTGAATAGAAAGAAAAGAGCCACTTGACAGCCCAGCCCTGTGAATGCAGAGACTGTTTCCCTTCTAGCGAGAGACAGGGAGAGTGTGTGTGTGCTAGGACTGAGAGGGCTGCCTCCCCCTCCTTTCTAGCCTGCCCTCCCCCTTCAGATCTGCACGTCTAACCATGAGTTGCCTGTTGATTTCCTTTCGCCTGGCAAGAGGAGCAAACTGGAATTAAACTGCGTGGAGTGAAGTCCTTGCTTGCAGGAAGAGGATGGGATGGTAGTGGCGGCTCCCGGCTTGGCGTAGATACACCAGAGTGTTCGACAAACCGAGGCGGAGATAGATCTCTATATTTTCTCCTCCCAATAGGCTCTCGGCGCAAATGCTGATCAGGCTGTGGCTTTTTTGATTTTGGGGGAGAGCCTTCTCCGAGGAAGAGAGGGAGGAGCTTGGTAAGGGGAGGAAACTACAAATCGGGACACTAGGTTTTTTTTTTTCTTTCTTTCTTTCTTTTTTTTTTTTTTCACTGCATTTCCTCCCCTCCCTTTGGCTGCTCGGAAAGGAGAGAGAGAAAGGGGGGAAAAAAAGAAAAGAAAAGAAAAAAAGACTTGGCTCGGAGATGCAGTCCGCCGCCGCCGCCGCTGCCTAAACCAGCAATGCGAGATTAGATCTTCAAATGCAGCAATACACTGCCTGAAAGCCGACCATCCTACACACCGAGCAGACATTTCTCCGTGCTCCAGGGAAGCCTCACATATACATATGTGTCTGTGACTCTTTGCTTCGTCCCTACTCATTCCCATCCATTTCATCACCGAACACGAGTAACTGAGGATTCCACTTTCCCGATCTGCCTGGAGACACACCTCCCAAAGCCCTCCCCCCACCCGAATCGAAGAGTATTCTGTAGGCTGCCGGAGGGAGTGGATTTTTGCAGCGCCTAGCGGGAGCAAGGAAAACCCACCAATTCTTCAGCTCATTATCATCTCTCCCAGACTCTATTTCCTTCTTATCGCCAGCCTCATCACGCAAGTTTGAGCCTTCGGAAGTCCAGGCGGAAGAGACAAAGCCTTGGGCTCGCCCTCAGCCGCAGGGAGCCGCCGCCTTGCTCCGAGCTGCTGCAGCTTCGCTGAGCCGCTGCTTCTCATCCAGTGCGAATGCTGTAGATCAACAGGTTCGGGCAACTTGAGCGGAATAAGGAGAGACTGACTGGTGCCGCAGCCCGGGTGCGGAGGGAAGGAAGGACTCACAGACTTGTAGCTCGCTCTGAGCTCTGACGCTCCGCCCCGGTTCCAGACTGGCGCGCACCCACCAGCTCGCACCTCCAGTCCGGCTGCTCCTGCTCCCACCCCACCGGTCTGGGATGTACCTTTCCATCTGTTGCTGCTTTCTTCTGTGGGCCCCTGCCCTGACACTCAAAAACCTCAACTACTCAGTGCCAGAGGAGCAAGGGGCCGGCACGGTGATAGGCAACATAGGCAAGGATGCCCGACTGCAACCCGGGCTTCCGCCGGCTGAGCGCGGCGGCGGCGGGCGAAGCAAGTCGGGCAGCTACCGGGTGCTGGAGAACTCCGCACCGCACCTGCTGGACGTGGACGCCGACAGCGGGCTCCTCTACACTAAGCAGCGCATCGACCGGGAATCCTTGTGCCGCCACAATGCCAAGTGCCAGCTGTCCCTAGAGGTGTTCGCTAACGACAAGGAGATCTGCATGATCAAGGTAGAGATCCAGGACATCAACGACAATGCTCCCTCTTTCCCCTCGGACCAGATCGAGATGGACATCTCAGAGAACGCGGCGCCCGGCACCCGCTTCCCTCTTACTAGCGCTCACGACCCTGACGCTGGCGAGAACGGGCTCCGCACCTATCTGCTCACCCGAGATGATCATGGCCTCTTTGCACTGGACGTCAAGTCCCGCGGCGACGGCACCAAGTTCCCTGAGCTGGTCATCCAAAAAGCCCTGGATCGCGAGCTGCAGAACCACCACACTCTGGTGCTGACTGCCCTGGATGGCGGTGAGCCTCCGCGCTCTGCCACTGTGCAGATCAATGTGAAGGTGATCGATTCCAACGACAACAGTCCAGTCTTCGAGGCTCCCTCATACTTAGTGGAACTGCCCGAGAACGCGCCCCTGGGCACCGTGGTCATTGATCTGAACGCCACCGACGCTGATGAAGGTCCCAACGGGGAAGTACTCTATTCCTTCAGTAGCTATGTACCCGACCGCGTGCGGGAGCTCTTCTCCATAGATCCCAAAACCGGGCTGATCCGCGTTAAGGGCAACTTGGACTATGAGGAGAATGGCATGTTGGAGATCGACGTGCAGGCCAGAGACCTAGGACCTAACCCAATTCCAGCCCACTGCAAGGTCACGGTCAAGCTTATCGACCGCAACGACAACGCGCCGTCCATTGGTTTCGTCTCCGTGCGCCAGGGGGCGCTGAGCGAAGCCGCCCCGCCTGGCACAGTCATCGCCCTGGTTCGGGTCACTGACCGAGACTCAGGCAAGAATGGGCAGCTGCAGTGTAGAGTACTGGGTGGAGGAGGGACTGGCGGTGGAGGTGGCCTAGGGGGGCCCGGTTCCGTGCCCTTTAAGCTTGAAGAGAACTATGACAACTTCTACACCGTAGTTACTGACCGTCCGCTGGACCGCGAGACACAGGACGAGTACAACGTGACAATCGTGGCCCGGGACGGGGGCTCCCCTCCACTCAACTCCACCAAGTCGTTCGCTGTCAAGATTCTGGATGAAAATGACAACCCGCCTCGGTTCACCAAAGGGCTGTACGTTCTCCAAGTACATGAGAACAACATTCCAGGAGAATACCTCGGTTCAGTGCTCGCCCAAGATCCCGACCTGGGCCAAAATGGGACAGTGTCCTATTCCATTCTTCCCTCGCACATTGGCGACGTGTCTATCTACACCTATGTGTCCGTGAACCCCACTAACGGGGCCATATATGCCCTGCGCTCCTTTAACTATGAACAAACGAAGGCTTTTGAATTCAAGGTGCTGGCTAAGGACTCGGGGGCGCCAGCGCACTTGGAGAGCAACGCCACTGTGAGGGTGACAGTATTAGACGTGAATGACAACGCTCCAGTGATTGTGCTCCCCACTCTGCAGAACGACACGGCTGAGTTGCAGGTTCCACGAAATGCTGGCCTGGGCTACCTGGTAAGCACCGTGCGCGCCCTGGACAGCGACTTTGGAGAGAGCGGGCGCCTCACTTATGAGATTGTGGATGGCAACGACGACCACCTGTTTGAGATCGATCCGTCCAGCGGCGAGATCCGCACGCTGCACCCCTTCTGGGAGGATGTGACCCCCGTGGTGGAGCTGGTAGTGAAGGTGACTGATCATGGCAAGCCCACCCTGTCCGCGGTGGCCAAACTCATCATTCGTTCAGTGAGCGGCTCTCTGCCTGAGGGGGTACCGCGTGTGAATGGGGAGCAGCACCACTGGGACATGTCGCTGCCTCTCATAGTGACTCTGAGCACGATTTCCATCATCCTCCTAGCGGCCATGATCACCAT